CCCCCCCCCGCCCCTACCCCCACCCCCACCCACTCGCTACCACCCACCACCAACCACCCGCCACCGTCACCCACCCAACCACCACCACCACCCACCACCACCAGCTACCCACCACTCACCGTCACCACTTTCCACCACCGTCGTCCGCCGCCACTTGCCACCACTTGTCATTTCTCACTTTTTTTTATATTAAGATTTTTTTTAAAATATTTTGTCAATTACCAAACGCGTTTGTAGTTTATGTTTTTCTAAAAATAAACAAAAAATAAACAAAAATCAATTTATAAAATTTTTGTAAATATAAACTGAAAACGTAAACGTTACCAAACACACCCTAAGTATTTTAAATTTCAAGCTATATAAACTACAAATAAAGTTTGCCTAACAGGAGGGTTGGCAATAAATGACAGTGGGGTGAGGTTAACATGGTAACTCTAATTGAATGAAAAGCCCCTAAGCAGGTAGCAACCATAATTGAATTGAGCCAACTAAACCTTCAAATCCAACTCTCACAGTCTCACGAAAAGCCAATCCCAACTCTTGGTTGGCAGATAAGAGAAGGAAAAAAGAAGTTTTGAAGCATAAGGTGAGGGTGACTTTTAGAAGTAAACTAAATCAAATTACACCTTGTGTTTCAATCAAGTGAGGCTGACTATACGGATCTTTTTCGTCTCTTGATAGTCAATAAAGATTTTTAGAAGCAATCTCTAGCAAAATAATCTCCAATAAACCTTCCAACTCTTTCTTGATTTGCACATATATGTTTTCCTACAGAGCTTACCCTTCAATTGAAGCTAAAACAGTTAGACAGACGTTATAATATGCTCTCTCAAGGGATCAGCTTAGCAAAATGAACAAATTGTACGCAAACAATTGAATTCTACAAGCATTAACAAAAGGCATGCCAAACTCTTGGTGGCCACTCAAAAGTAAGCACCTAATATAGGATAAGTTCTCATCAAAGCCAACTACCTGACTTTGACACATGCCAATCAACTCCTTTTTTTGCCAAAAACACTGGAAAGACATCCAGCAAGGACCTAAAGTTAAAACCTAAGTTCCCAAAAGATTTAAGCTTGAATGATAGGACATCTTATTTCTCCCCACTCTAATTGATGTTGGGGATAATAGTCCCCTGCTCAATAATCTAGAACCCCAATCATCATAATCAACTTTCAAAGATTCATTATAGACGGGAAAACAACACCAACACAGAAGAGTATAAAATACAATTATCTCAACACTGCATTCATCCAGGATGGAGTCAACACTCCACCGAGAAGAATGCTTTGTTGCTATTGCTGGTGAGCTTGATATATATTATTGGGCCCATTTCCTAAAAGCTTTAATTTTGGGACAACTAGTAACTTAACATGATATCAAAACTCAAGTTGGGGAAGGTTTTTTGGTCCCCGTTTGCATTCTTTCTTTTCTATATGTATGGATGTTTATATCGCGTGCAAGACGAGGTTACACATAAATATACATAGTTAAACCCATTTCCAAAAACCCCCAAGTCTTTTAAACAATTGGGGACTTAGGCCAAGTTTGGCGTACATCAAAAAAGTGCACTTATTTGCACTTATTTCATCTTTTTATCTTTTTTGGGTCACATCAATCAACATCTCCTCTCTACTTTTTCTACACATAATACAAAAAAAGTCAAAAAGTACACTTATTTAGTCTTTCCAAACTAGGCCTTAATAACAGCCAATCACTGCATTATGTGAACTTTTCTGACTTTTGTCTTTGTAGCATCATTGTTATAGCTACAAACTTTTACAGTAAACTGGGTCTTGCTAGTCATTGGAAGTGTAAAATTTATTTCCGGTTTTTCTGAGAAAGCAGCCTAACCCAAAGTTCAACAATAATATCCAACTGTACTTGGGTTCTTAAGTTTGATTTGAAAAGGAAAATAATTGGGCCTCCAAAGTTCTTAGGGAAGCAACTACACAGGATGAGCCCAAATAAACAAAAGCCAACCTTGATTAACGTCAATGTATACAGGGCTTTGCCTTCCACTCCTGTCCACAGACAAGTCATTATTTACGTTTCTCGTGGTATAGATTTAGCAGTGATTTGTTTACTGAAACAATAACCATTTGGTCAAAGAGAAATCAACCACTAATTTTCAATAACACAATATCATTACACCACGCTACCTCAAACTAGGAAAATGTCTTTTGCCCAAAAAGGTTTAATAAACAGAAATTTAGTAATACCACAGTATTCAAACAAGAACCTTTCTAACAGTTCTATCACAATATCAGTCATGCACAAAATTCTGTAAATAGAAAATTGTCATTTAATACAAGCTCTTGATCGTTATCCATTAGCATACAAGAATGACAACCTAAAATCTAGGAGTGAAAGAGACTAATTTGACAACAAACAAAATACTTTTAAAGAAAACTGCAATCTTTTGAGCCCAGTGAAGCAAGAGGCTACAATGCATACATGGTAACGGTTACAGAGAGAGTACTACATTGTTATTATCCATAAGCTCCAGACAATTGAATATACAAAAACAAGGCATTGCCATATCTCAACCTACAAGCTTATGATGCGAAGGTAATGAATCACACAGGTGGCAGCATAATCTAAGGCCTCGAAAATCCAAAATGAGTCTTTGATTGTAGTAAGCTCTACATAAAAGATATCAGAAATAGTTTAAACTAACATAAAAGTGGAACGATAAATAAACAAAAGAAATAAGAAAGGAAATGCCAAACTTACAGACACCAAAGAATGACAACATTTAAGAGTGTGGCTTTACTAAATTGAAAAACCATGAGTTGTGCCAGAACAAATTTCTGTTTAAATATCTATCCAAGCTTAGCGTCTGCATTGTGCTGAGGAAGCCTTCCGATTAGTTGGTGCATATGCAAATTTGTTTAAATCCACACCAACATTTGACCTTCAACAAGCACATACAAATTACTAAGATGCTCATAAAAGGATTTGTTTAGGGGCAATAAACTTTAGCATCAAGGTCAAACAACATTACCTACTAGTACATGTGTTCTGCACATCTTTTAGAGGGGCACGGAGTCCACTAGCATGAGAACCAGATGAGGAGCACCTGAATGATGATATTACAGAAACAAACTTTTCCATTGATTTCTCTGCTATGTCAGAATAATTTGCTAAATGGGAAATGTTACATCCAAACTCCCCTCCTTCAGCCTTTGTCTCTGTAACTGTATCATCAAGGGTAGAAATGCTGTTACCTGAAGCAGAGAATCATATTAAGTCTATTCTCCTAGAGAAACAAATGTTGGAGGCATTACAAAATTGATAACGACAAGATAGAATAATTAAACAAAGTAGATACAGTTAAGAGAATCAAATTATAGTCGAATGCAGTACATGAACACATAAGAAAATTGATGGAATGTTTGCTATGAGGATCAGCCATTCAATATCAAGGATGAAAGCTGGAAATGGCCGCAATGAGTCTGCACCTAGCCAGAGGTTACAACAGCAGCACAAACCTAGCCAAAGCATGTCTCAGCTTAAAATGTCGACCGAATTTCAGCCCTTCTTATTTCCAATATTAAGACAAGTTCAAGGTAGCTTAAAGTGAACAAACCCATGAGAAAAGACAAACAACAAATAAGAAAAAAAACAGTTAAGAGAATCAAAAAAGTTTTAAGCTGAAAAAAGATGATTATCTGGAAGCTGGAGGAGGGATGCTTTTGGTTTTTGCTTTCTGAAAAAGCTGCACCAAACAAAACCTCTGCATTCTTCTCCGGTGACCTCAGCTGTGGTATTGACCTAAGAAAAATAACTTTGAATGGCAAACGAAGAAAGAGAGAAGGTCGAACTAAGAAGAGGGAGGGAGAAGAACTTAAACAAAGGAGAGAGAAATGAAGAAAGAGACAAGCAAAGGAGAGAAATCAACCCACAATAGCTTTGCTAGGGCATTTGACATGCTTGTTGGCTTCACAAGGGACTTTTGGCAACTTCGCTAGGACTTCAAGAACTTCGAAAGCTTTGCTAGGGCATAATTTCTTCACGATAAAAATGCAAGACCGGCTAGGGTTTACAAACTGTTGTAATCATTTTTTTACTTAGTTTTATTCTTTAAACCTTTCTTTTTTTACACTTTTAAGTCCATTTAAAGGTTTTTAAAATATCATTTTGACACCGCAGTCCACATGTCCTAGACATGTCTCACTTGTCCCCATTGTGTCCGAGGAAAAAAACTGGACCCATCAGACACTAGAAAGCAGCGTTCAGATAGATGTTTGTGCTTCAATGCGTAGAATTAAAGAGTCGTTTGCATGACTTTTTCATGATGATTTGAAGGCATATACTTCTCTTGAACCTTAGTTTTCATCTTTAGACATGTACTTATTGATGGCAATTCCAGTGTCTAAATACCTCCTTCAACACCATGCCCACCATATCAATGTCAAACCTACAAGTTTGATCTAGACAAATATCACTCTCTGATCATCCCCCCAATCATACCAATCACAAAAACTCCTCAATCGAAGCAAGCCAATTAGAGAACACCATAGGATCATTTGTTCATTCAAAGTCCGAAACTGTTGCCTCTTCTCTAACCATAGAACCCAGTTTTCCTCACACCAAGGTTAGATTTGCATCACACAATTCACAAGAAAGCTTTAAAACTCTACGCTATTCAAACAAAAGCATTGCGTAGCTTTATATACATATTATGGAACTCTTACTAGTAATATGATTTGATTTCCTATTTAAAACTCAACTCCTAGCACCTAGTTTTCCTCACACCAAGGTTAGATTCATCACACAATTCACAAGAAAGCTTTAAAACTCTTAAATAACTCAATGCTATTCAAACAGAAGCATTGCATAGCTTTGTATAGCTATTATAGAACTCTTACTAGTAATATGATTTGATTTCCTTTCTAAAACTCAACTCCTAATGTTGCTAGTACTCGTCAACTCCATACTAACATTACTGGCTATTCCCATTCCAATTCTTATCATTGTCATTGCACAATACCCATCCCCATGTCCCCATATCACACTTACATCCACTCTTCCATCCACATTTACATCCATAGATGCTATTCCATACCCTCCTGCCAACAAATCTGGGAAGGCCATACAAGGAAGAAAGCTCACTTCATAAACTATCTGAAATCAAATTAAACCCATAAAATAACAGCTAATCACATAACTTGACCCATATGACAATTCATGGGCAAACCATACAGCCCATGTCCAAAAAATTATGCAAATTAACAAAATACCCCTAACAAAACACTATAAAACATATGGGAAACAAACCAAATAAATATCTAACCTGAATGACTATAAATAAAACTCTACTAAGACCATAAACACGACTATGCTTGGTTTCTATAGGTCCCGCCTTGAAAGCATGACCACATCCGATTTTAATTGCTTCCTTAATCCTTAAATTTACTCTTTCTTGCTCTTCTTGTGGACTATATCACATGGCAAAGGACAAAGTATGCAGGGATAAGATAATCACCATCAGTATGTAATTTGATAAATCATGTGTAATCATTTTTTGGGGATTCTGGTATAACCATAGTTTTTTATGCAAATAGAATATATATATATATATATATATAATTTGAGTTAAATAAGACATGCATCTGAATTTCTTATCACAAATATCAGGCTTCAGTTTCTAACATATAATTCACTAAATAGCACTTTGACAGTGATACATACTTCGAATTGGAAGAGAAACATTTGTCCGACTGCACTTATAATTCATGTTTTCCTGAAACAAGAGAAAGAAATTGCATGGTATCAATTTGAGACATATTAGTAGAAAAACACAAGAATACAAACCAAGGATATGTACACTAAAGTGAAAGCACTACCATTTGATTACTATCAACAGGGGCAACCTTCCTTTTCAGGATTGAGCTGTTAAAGCAGCAATCATCAGAAGAAGCACTCTCAGGAATGGCATTCTCACATGTAGAAGTTGTAAGATCAGCCTTGACTAAGAGTTTCTCTTGTCTGTTGTCTTGATCACTTTCATTTACAGATTTATGTGGAAAATAAGAACTCACCATAGTTTTTCTGTTCTTTATTCTAGTTTTGACCTCACCTGCAACTGAAGCAGACTTATTTTCACAATCAGGATTGACATTCTCACATTTATCTGTGGAGACATCTTCCTTGCCTAAGAGATTTTCATTTTGATTCTCTTCGTCATTTTCCTTTGCCAACTTCTGCTGAAAATATGAACTCCTCACGGTGACCTTGGTATTCTGTATTCTAGTTTCACCCTCATCTGCATCTGAGGCAGACTTCCATTCAAACTCCTTGTGCAATGTCATACAAGGTTTATGTGTTGAATGTCTGGACTGTTGCAGCAAAGGATCTTGTGAACTTCTCTCGGCACCCAAAGTATCTTTTTTACCATGCAATCCTAATTAGTTTATGAGCATATAAATTAATATCATTTTATAACTGATCTTTAGGCCCATTTGAGGGGAAGTTATATCCTTACCATCACTTGGAGATTCCAAACTCTCAGGAGATTCTGTCACAACACCATTATCCACCTAAAAGAAAAGATGAAGTTTGGAATAGCATAAGATGAATTCTCACTAACAACTAATATCGATTGAAATGTAGTAGCTCCAAATTGAATAACTCACATAGTCATCTGGAGAAGAGGCTATCGCCAGATATCTGGAGTCAAGCAGGGATGCTGGTGAGCAGTCTGTTTTACAAGCAGCAGCCTCCTTGGTGACATGTTCTACAGGTCTAGAAGTTTCATTTATTGGAGATGGGTGCGTAGGTGCACTTCGAGGGGCCCTAAATCTCCTCTTTGCTTCAAGAGAAGCAAAACCTATAGCTGTTAAAGGAAAACAAATGGCACCACATGCACTAAAAAACAGTGAAAACTATGAGAAACACTAGCTGCACTGATCAGCATCCTCAGAAACATAAATACACATACATGTTGAATATAGGAATTAGAGTATATAGAACCTTTTTATTTTTAGTATTGGGGCTGTTTGGGAAGTGGTTTGGGCGGCTAATATAGCCCAAAAATGAAAATCAGCCCAAAAGCTTAACTGTAGCAAACTTTTGCTTGATTTTCAAAAAAAAAAAAAAAATGATTTTCAGTCGGCTGCTGCAGCAGTGCAGCCTACACTGCCACCAACAGTGTAGGCTGCAGGTTTGCTAAATTACATTATTACCCTTATTCCTCAATCTTTTAAAAAAATTAAGTGAAGGGTAAATTTGTAATTTCAATTTAAACATCATTTCAAACACTTTTTTCAATACAACAATCAACCTAAAAATTTAACTCAACTTCCCAAACACAAAACTAAAATAACCTACTAAAATAGCCAAAAAGCCAAATAGCCTACTAAAATAGCCACTTCCCAAACGAGGCCATTATGTATATAATCTGTGATTGTGCCAATTACTGATTTATTGCCTTATTTATATCGTTTCCTCAATTGTATCTATTATATATACATGACCTCTACCTCATTCATTGGTAAACCAAATCATTATTTTCATCATTTTTGGTATCAGAGCTAAATTCAAAAACCCTAGTCCTCTGCCCAGCCACTGTCGGTAGCTCTGCCCTACTGTCCAACCACTGTTTCATATTCTTTCTTCCTCTTTAAGTTTTAACAATCCCATTCCAGCCCTCTATTTCACCCGACAGCCCCACCCAGCCAACCTAGACCCCCCAAAACCACCTAATTGTGCCAATTACTGATTTATTGCCTTATTTATATCGTTTCCTCGATTGTATCTATTATATATACATGACCTCTACCTTATTCATTGGTAAACCAAATCATTCTTTTCATCCTTTTTGGTATCAGAGCTGAGTTCAGAAACCCTAGTCCTTTGCCCAGCCACTGTCGGCAACTCTACCCCACTGCCCAGCCACTGTTTCATCTTCTTCCTTCCTTCTTAAGTTCCGACAATCCCCTTCCAGCCCTCTATTTCACCCGACAGCCCCACCCAGCCAACCTAGACCCCCCGAAACCACCTACCCAACCCTCTACACCCCTCGGCAGGCTGCCCTAGTGCTGCGTAGGGTCTTGTTGGCTGCCGACCAGGGTGTTTCATGGCCACAGATGCTTCGACAGCTCTTCTAGGGCAGTTCAGTCCCTGTTTTTCCCTTTCTAGGATGTGGTGCTGATGGTGTGGTGCTGATGTATTAAATACTTTTTTGACCTGTTTTTTTATTTAGTGGACTACCAGATTTGTTCGGTAGCATTTATTTAGACTAGCCGTTGAGCTTTTTCCAGCTTCTCATATTTTTCTAGACTGTGTTGTTATTTTGTGTTTTCCAGCCCTTATTAATCTACCATGATTGATCCAACCCTTGTTGTTGCCCTTATTAATCCACCATGACTGATCCATCTCTTGTTGCTTCTGATATGCCCACCAAACTTATCCCGGTGAATTTTGATTTTTCTCTTTCTTATCACACTACTATTCATCGCATTGCAAGTGTGGTGTTGAATAGAAAAAATTTTGCTGCTTGGAGCTACTCCCTTAAACTCTATTTAGGGGGAAAGGAAAAGGCCCATTGGCTCTCATCTTCTATTCAGCCTCCAGCAACAGATCCTACCCGTGCCTGGTGGGATATAGATAATTACACTATTCTAGGATGGATGTTCAACTCTATGGAGGACTATATTTACCACATGTTTCTTTGTTGCACCACAGTTTCGAGTCTTTGATGTGCCTTGTCTCAGATGTATGCCCATGCTCATAATGATGTTGCATCTTTGAGCTCTATCAAGACATTGCCCGTACCTTCCAGTCTGCTTTGGGTCTCTCAGTGTCAAAGTTCTTTGGATACCTTCAGGCCCGTTGGGAGGAATTGGCTCAGTATGAGCCCTTGATTGAGTCACCTGCAGATGTTGCTGCTCTTGCGTCCCGTCGCCTTGCCCGCCAGCACCCTTACCAGTTTCTAATGAGTTTAAACTCTGAATTTGAATCTCTTCGAACTTAGATTTTAAACACATCGCCCATGCAATCCCACTATGAGGCAATCACTACCATTGATAGTGATGAGCGTTGTCGACTTCTAGTTCAGCCCACCACTACTCCAGTGACTCCTGTCTTATCTGACCAGATGGCCCTTGCCGCAAACTCTAGTTCTCGGGGTTCTACTGGTTCAATTACCTGTCATCATTGTGGGGCTCCTGGTCAATTCAAGACTCGTTGCTTCAAACTTCATCCTGAGCTGAGGCAACAATCTTCTCGCCAACGTGTTTAGATTCTGGGGCTAATGATCATATGATGGATGAGTTTTCCTTTCTTTCATCTCCAGTTCCTACTACTATAGACCAATCTGTTTGTCTTGCTGATAGGTCTTTATCCTCAATTCGTCACAAGGGTCAAGTGTCTTTATCTCCTGATATTACTCTATCCTCAGTTTTGCATATTCCTAATTTTGCATATAATCTACTATCTGTTAGTTGGCTTGCCAAGTCATTCAATTGTGCTATTATTTTCTTACCTTCTTCATGTCTGTTACAGAACTTGAGTTCGAAGAGGATTTTTGGCAAAGGATATGAGAACGATAGACTTTACTACTTTGGGGATCCATTGGACCAACCTTCTGTTAGAATAATATATGATTATTTGGGTTATTATTTTGTAATTATTTTATGCCTTAGGCCTTCCTTGTAATTATTAATCTTCATTAATATAAATAGGGGATGATATCCTTATCATTAACCCTAATCTTGGTATTTTCTAAATTTATCATGGTATCAGAGCCAAACCCTAAACCCTAAACCCATCTTCCCCAAACAGTTTTGTTACTCACCGGAGCTAGCCGGAGACAACCCACTTCATTCAACTGGGTATTGATGGTCCCCTAGGATGCGGAACATACCTGGGTCTCTCGCAGCTTCCTCGCTAACTGTCCTCTCTGTGATCGACTTCGACTTCTCTTCCATAACAGCATCGTCGATAGCCCTCCTGGCCTAGTCGACTGCCACCAACGGCCCTCCTAGCCTAGTCGACTGCCACCGACAGCCCTCCTGGAATAGTTGACTGTTACCAACAGCCCGTTGGCTTCTTGCGACACCTCTGGTGGCCTTTTTCCCTCATCTCTCTCTCTCTGGTTTCGTTTCCTGTTTCGTTTGTTTGTATATATCAATGTTTGACTTGGTCCAGTGTTGAACAGTGCTTTTCTAAAATAAAAATAAAAAAAAAAGTATGAATTGTTAATTCTTTAGTGGTCGTTGTGTTTGTTTTTCCCTTCCACCACCACCTTTCGAGTTTGTGATTGGCACTAGTTTTGTTAAGGGTTCGGTAATACAATATCTATGGCAGATTCCACTAGTGTGTCGACACCTAAGAGTGAGAGTTCCATTATACCTACTACTATGACTAATAACCCCAACCCTAGTATTAAAATCATTTCTCCATTCAATGGTCAGAACCATCTAACGTGATCGCAGAGTTTGACTATGTTTTTGAAGAGCAGAGGAAATATGGGGTATGTTGATGGCAGGATACAGGCACCTAGCACCACTGACTCAGGTTATGACTAATGGGAGATTACCAACTCTTTGATTATGGGTTGACTTATTCATTCGATGGTACCAAACATTGGCGAGGGCTACTTGTCTATGGAGACTGCCCAAGATGTTTGGAATGCCATGGCTGCTACCTATTCTCGCAAAGAGAATTTCTCCCAGGCATTTGAGTTACGCCGCTCTATTAAGAGCTTTGTTCAAGGGGAGCAGACAGTTCTTCAGTACTTCACCTTCCTCACCAATGACTGGAAACGCCTTGATCACCTGCAGGATTATAAGCCTGTTTGCATTGCTGATTCCGTCGGGTACAGGAAGTTCATTGCACAAGAAAGGGTCTTCAAGTTTCTAGCCGGTCTCAATGTGGAGTATGATCCGGTTCGGAGTCGGATTTTGAGTATGGACACTCTTCCTTCACTTCAGGAGGCATTTGCCTATGTACAGAATGAGGAGAGTCGTCGGTCTGCTATGATGTCTCCCGTCTCTACTGACCGCTCAGCATTACTGTCTACCTCTCGAGATGGCCTTAGCCTGACTCCCATCCCTCCGTCTACCGCCAAGGAGTCTGTATTCTGTGATTACTGTAAGAAGCTGTGACATACTCGTGAGACGTGTTGGAAGCTTCATGGGACTCCATCCGGGGGTCGAGGTGATCGGTCTGGTTCTAGAGGAGGTTGGTCAAGCCAGTCTAGAGGACGTGACTCCTATCCCCGGGCTCATCAATCTAGTGCCGTTAATACACTTGATTCTAATTTTGCTTCCGTTGGCCAAGCTTCTGATGATCTCTTTATATTCTGTGTCAATTGCTAGACCGCCGGTCTTCTATACTCTTAGTACATCTTCCTCATCATTTACCCACTCAGGTAACTTAGCCTCTTCTCCTTGTGTTTTCCTGTCTCATAAGTCTTTGTCTTGGATTATTGATTCTGGTGCCTTAGATCATATGTCTGGCTCCTCTGATCTTTTCTCTGCCTATAAGCCCTCTTCAGGTTAGGACAAAGTTAAGATTGCAAATGGTACTGTTTCTTCTATTTCTGGAAAATGTTTAGTCCATGTCACTCCTGCTTTACCTCTCTCTTATGTTCTCCATGTTCCCAATTTCTCTGTTAACCTGCTATTCTTGAGTCGTATCACAAAGCATGTGAATTGTAGTGTGATATTTTTTCCTGATCATTGTCTTTTTCAAGACCTTGTCACGAGGAGGACGATTGGCAGTGGTAGTGCAGAAAATGGTCTCTACTTCCTGGATTAACCGGACAAGCTTGCTTATTCTTCCACCATATGTCCTACTACCACCGATGACATATGGTTGTGGCAT